CGTATATATTATCTATAGTAATATAACATAAAAGCCAGTCTACAAATATTCCTTTAGGATAAAGGACTAGTTTTTTAAAACCTCCATAGGCTACACGGATATATGTTGATATTTCCATAACATTCCACAAATATTAAATGCTATTCTGCAAATGTTCTTTCAGGATAAAGGACTGATTTTTTAAAACTTTCAAACGCTACATGGATGTATGTTGATGCTCCCATAACGTTCCACAGGATTCTAATAGAGGATACGTGATCATGAATTGTCGTGTAAAAAATTCTCGTGCATTCTATATATATACAGCAAATAATCTTGAGATTAAAAACACAACATCTTACACTGTAAGTGCATCTCTTTTATAACTGATGCATAACCTTCTATTAATAAGACGTATGTGATGCAGCAAATAACACATATTCAAAATACTAATTTATGTAATTATTTATTAACGGAATTTAAAAGGTCAAAAGTTCGTAAGCAGATAGGAATGATATATTATTAGACTCTTTAAATAAATTATTTGTGCCATGCAGGTAACACAGTATTCAGGATTTTGAGTATTAATGCTAAAATACTATTTTCTAGTACATACATTGACTGAAGAGCAATATAAGCATTTAATCAATCTATCATGCATGTTGACAATACAGAATCATCGTTTCTTCAATAAACACATTAATTTTACTAATGGATGTTGATGATACTATTCCATAAAGTTCAACATTATTGTCTCCACTATTAAAATCATGTATGACAATGATGTATGACAATATCATCGTCGCTCTATTAAAAATTTTCGTGCTTATTCAAGAAGCAATAATTCTGTACTGTCAATGTGTATAATAAAAGATTGATTAAATGTTTATGTTGCTATTAAGTTCATATATGTGTCAGAAAATAGTATTTTAATACATATAAATATTATATACTGCATTACATGCGTCACAAATATTTTACTTAAAAAACTTAATAATATACAATTCCTATCTGCAATACCATATTTACGAATGCATTTATATGTATAATAAAGCAAACTATGGATTTTTTGGCCCTTTAAATTCACACTTTATATGTAATTAGATACATCACAATTTAAGTAAGTGTTATTTAGTGCATCTAAATTTATTAATATAACATTATGCATCGGTGCTTTCAGAGAGATGTGATTAGAACACTGATTTTTAATTTCAAGATTATTTGCTATTTACTGAATTTTAATAAGATATTGTACAATTCTAACGCAATGCTTTGAATTAAGATTGTTAAATATCTATTTTATACTTGAAGAAGCTGAAAACATATCCTATGCGTCCGTAGTAATTTGTAGGGTAAGCTATCAAATGTTTTTAGGTATCAAAAGAAAATTCACTTACAATGTACGAGAGTCTGTTAGGCGGGAGTTTATGATTATATCCTTTACTAGAATCCTGTGGAACGTTATATATAGAAGTATCAACATTCATGTATCATATATCCTTGTAGCCTTTGGATGTTTTGGGAAAGCAATCCTTTATCTTGAAAGAAGTTTGTAGAATGGCATTTATGTTTGATCGTAAGATAGTGTATATATACGAGTCGAAGTAAAATGTATGTTTTAACATGTCGCTATCGGAAAGCAATATTATATATAATATATATATTACAACTATAACTATAAGCTTAATTTTACCAAATTTTACTCACCAATTTATGTATTTGTGAGAATATGCTCATAACATGCACGACACATACATTATTTAAATACCACGATATAGATAAATATATTACGCTGCATTCTGTGGATAATTCGTTAAAGATTATTAATAAAGTATACACAGTTATTACCTGCTTAAAAATATAAATGTTTTATACATTCTGCAAACATGTGTAAAAACTAGAAGCACATTAATCCTTCCATGATAAACACAGCAACTTAGTTAATCACAGTAGATAATTCCATAACATTTCACAAGATTCTGAAAACGGAGACAATAATAATCAACTCTCGCTTAACGGAATCTCATGGTTTGTAAATGGATTTTTTCTTCGATATCTGAGAATATTCCAGGCCTATGTAATTACTACAGAATATCTCATCCCCAGCTCCTACAAAGTTGAAGGAAATTGATACTTAATAATCTAAATTAAAAACATTAAAAATTAAAATTTCGTACACAAGTAATTTTAGTACAAATGTTGTCAACAATAATATGTACCATTACCAGCTGCTAAACATACTACAATAAAGGTTAGCAAACAGCAAATAATGTTCACATTTGAAATTGGAGTCCACACTGTAAATGCATGCCTTTACAGTATGCCTGTGCATTGCGTAGATACAGAGATACGTCATTTCTGACAGTAAAATAATTTTCTGTTGCGCCACTGAAAGAAAAGGGAGCTAAATCTCTATTAAATGATTGCTAAAACATTGCTGTAAATCAATAAACTGCAATCTCAGATTATTAATAAGTAACACTAGTGTATCTTATTATGTATGAAGAAGAATTAACTTTAAATTATTAAGATAAACAACTGATCTTTTATTTGACAAAAGTATACTCATTTAACGCCACTTTGACTAAAAGAGAAAAATATTTCGACATTTTATATACTGTTCGAGACTGTAAAAGCAATAATAAAGCACTCCAATGAGAGGACGGCTTGAGGTTAGGAAATATGTCAATCGACTTCATACTTAAAGTACGTACACGATATTACAGTATAATACGTATCTTTATATAGATTTGTAGCTCTGACTACCGCTTAATGTGCTATCCGTAAATAATTTATCTCAACATCTCGAGTACTCGCAACTCGTAAAGAGTCACGGTCGGTCTCGCTCCGCGCATACTCTTGACATAAATACATAATACGATGACAGATTTTTTAACCTCGCGTAATGCTATAGTTTTTTAGTTTATTATTGTTTTAACAGTCTCGAACATATACATAAACTTTCGTATTTTATTTCCAAACGTGACCGTGTCCAAACGGCACCGTGTCCGATCGGCACCGTGTCCGAACGGCACCGTGTCCGAACGGCACCGTGTCCGATCGGCACTGTGTCCGATCGGCACCGTGTGCAATCGCCACCGTGTGCAATCGACACCGTGTGCAAACGCCACCGTGTGCAATCGGCACCGTGTGCAATCGGCACCGTGTGCAATCGGCACCGTGTGCAAACGCCACCGTGTGCAATCGGCACCGTGTGCAATCGGCACCGTGTGCAATCGCCACCGTGTGCAATCGGCACCGTGTGCAATCGGCACCGTGTGCAATCGGCACCGTGTGCAATCGGCACCGTGTGCAATCGACACCGTGTCCGAATGCAACTAAATGTGTCCGATAGTAACCGTGTCCGATCGACACCGTGTCCAAATGCAACTAAATGTGTCCGATAGTAACTGTGTCCGATCGGGATTGTGTCCAATCGGCACCGTGTCCAATCGGCACCGTGTCCGATCGGCACCGTGTGCAATCGACACCGTGTCCGATCGGCACCGTGTGCAATCGACACCGTGTCCGATCGGCACCGTGTGCAATCGACACCGTGTCCGATCGGCACCGTGTGCAATCGACACCGTGTCCGATCGGGAAATATTGCTGTGTCCGATTTGTAATGTGCGCAATCGGGACTCACTCGTTGAGACGACGAACGGGGGGGTATAAATTGAACGGGCGCGCGAACGGCGCGGCAAACGTTTTTTTTTCTATGAGGATTCTAGAGCGCGGTCGAGAGTTAACATATTTGTAAAAAAATACGGTATGGGAACGGATGGACGCTATTGCTCGTCGATGGTGCGTTTGCTTCGCGGCAGAAAAGTCGGATTTCGAAACGTACTCGCTGGCACTGACACGTGGTGTCCCAAGCATTCTAGATCGCATATCAGTAAAAAAGAACGCAGGTGGCGGTGTCCCAAGCATTTTAAATTGCATTTCAAATTGCATATCGGTAGAACCGAACACATTTGGAGGGCTTTGGACTCATACGTTAAAACATGTTGGTATATGGTTCGCGGCAGCGTCCGTAACGTTTACGACGAAGTATTGACGCACGAGTTCTGTTTACATTGTGGAGGGAATTGTAAAATAGGTTTGTGGGATACTTATGATTACATCGAAACATTAATGTGGGGGGATTGAAGATGGAGATTTTTTTATTTTGATATAGACGTCAGCGATGCGAATGTAGCGTCAGCGATATGTCCCAGCCGGAACGTCGACGTCTATAGACGTTCAATTGACATCTTATAGATGCCGATTCAACATCTATCGACATCTATAAACGTTGAAAAGACGCTAACATTCCCGGCTGGGGTACTCGCGAAATGAACGATCGCCGTTATCCGTCGTCCGAGGAATCGGACGACGAATGGTGCTGTCGCGAGCCCATGCCTAAGTTTTTGTCCGATTCGGACAACGAATCGGCGAGAGTCGAAACACCGTTGTCGAGTGCGCGCGCGTCGGTGGCGAAGGAGGACGCGCGATAGAATTTGGTTACCCATCATCTGCGAAGGGAAATCGGAGCGCGAATCGATCGCGAGCGAAAGTGGATAGAGACGACGGTGGCGAACTCCGTCAGGGCGAGCGATTATATGCGTCGCCTGCCGCTCAAGTATTATGTCTATCACGAGTCGATGTACGGAGGAAAGAGCAGGATATATCGGAATCAAATCGCCTGGTCTCGTCGTCTTTTCGACCGAGTGAAGTTCAACGTTCCCGAGGGTGAACCTTTCTGGATGCGATGCGGAAAGAGTGCGACGAGTTGCTCGCCGCAAACGTCCGCGACGCGGACGGGTACCGCGCGTGGAGACGGCGATGCGACGAGTGTCTCCGACTCCTGCGGGAGCAGTGTCGAGTCAAACGTTCCGGGAAGCGAGGAAACACGGGAGCCGTGAGTGCTCTGGTGGCTCTGATAACGCGATTGGAAGGTTCGAGGGAAGATCTGCGTCGACGATTCGAACGCGCCGTAGGTGCCGGCTTGGACGGAGGGGAAGGTGGTAGCGGCGGCAGCAGCGACAGAGGTTTCTCGTGGATCGAGATCGACGCGGCGTTCCAACGTCGCGTGCTGACCGGCGCCGTGACGAACTCGACGTACATCGAGCCCGCGCGATTTCTCGACGACGCGAAGGGCACCGTGCTCGAAAAGGTGCGGGATAATATGACCGAACACGGGTGTTTGAAGGTCAACGTCATATTCAACGGGGAATTCGTAGCGGACGTTAAGACCGACGTGAAGAGTATCGCTACGCGGAACGAACAGCTTGTCCCAGGGTCTGATCTGAGCGAGTGGTACGATAGGCACGTGCGCGACGCGAGTCTAACGCGGTTGGAAGAATTTCAGGAACGCGACAGCGGATGGGCGTTGTCGCGAATATTGAACCGTTGTTGGATGAAAATACCGCTGGGTATAAGACTTAAAAAGGCGGTGGTCAACGTGCCGTCGGAGAACGACGCGTGTTTCGCGCGCGCGTGGTCGCCGCCCTGTACCCCGCCGAGCGGCACGCGGAACGATGCGGCTCGTATCCCGATTACGATTACGCGACGGTGCTGAATCTCGACGGGATCGATTTTCCCATAGATCTGAAAAAGATCGGAAAATTCGAACGTCAGAACGACGTATCGATCAACGTGTTTACAACTCGGGAAGGAATTGAAAAGAAAGCTAAGTTCGGCCGAGGCGCCGACCACAACGCGATCGTGCCTCTGCGGTTGACCGACGATAAGCGGGACAGGCACGTAAATCTGCTGTATCTGCGCGATACGCTGCGCGGCGTCAACAGGGGCCATTTCGCCTGGATAAAGAATTTGTCGCGATTGGTGAATTCGCAATTGACAGCGAAACGGTACGCAAAGCACGTTTGCGATCGGTAGGTAAAAGAAATGAAATGAAAAAGAAAACACGGGGAACAAGGAAAAGACGAGACGTTATTTTTTTTTACATACACGCAGTAATCGCTCGCACGTTATTTCGCAGATGTCTACACTATTTCTATACGCGCGACAAGTTGCTCGCCCACAGCGTCGACTGCGGCCGAATGAACGACTGCGCCGTCGTTCTCCCGAACGAGAGCGACAAGTGGCTGTCTTTCGACAATTACGTCAGAAAAGAGCAACTTCCCTTCGTGGTGTACGCGGATCTGGAGTGTTTTCTCGAACGACGGGAGAGGGAAAACGTCGAGGGGGGCCCGAGAACGGAAAGATACGCTTATCAGCGTCACGTACCGTTCAGCCTGGGCTACTATCTGTGCTGCACCTACGACAATACCGCGTCTGCGTACAGATATCGTCGCGGCGAGGATTGCGTTTCGTGGTTCGTGAACGAGCTTCGCGTTTTCGCGCGTCGCGTTAAGAATAAATTTTCCACCAATATAGCGATGGTGGAATTTACGGAGGACGAGAAAAGCGAATTTCTGCTCGCGACTCATTGTCACGTGTGCGGGAAACCGTTTCAAACGGAGGACAAGCGCATGCGGGATCACTGTCACCTAACCGGACGCTACAGAGGTCCGGCGCATTCTCGTTGCAATCTGAATTACAGAAACGTTTACGTGATTCCCGTGTTCTTTCACAATTTGTCGGGTTACGACGCGCACTTCGTCGTCGAGAAAATCGCGAACGATTTCGAGGGCGGGGTCGATCTGCTGCCGCTCATGAAGGAAAGCTACATATCTTTCTCGAAGACCGTTAAGGAGACGCAGACGGACGGGAAATGGGATCGGTACGTGAAGCTTCGATTCGTGGACTCGTATAAATTTTTAGCGGCGAGTATCGAAACCCTGGCGTCCTATCTGAACAGGGACAAGCTGAGAATCACGCGTTCGGAGTACGCGGATTTGAGCGCGGAGGATCTCGATCTGCTCACTCGCAAGGGTGTGTTTCCGTACGAGTACGTCGACAGCGCGGACAAACTGCGGGATACCGAGCTTCCGCCGCGCGAGGCCTTTTACAGCTCCCTGACCGACGAGACCGCGAGCGAGAGCGACTACGAGCACGCGACGAGGGTCTGGCGACGTTTTCGCGTGCGAGATCTCGGCGAGTACAGCGATCTGTATCTCAAGACCGACGTGCTTCTTCTGGCGGATATATTTGAAAATTTTCGAGACGCGTGTTCGGCGAGTTACGGGCTCGATCCCGCGCATTACTACACGTTGCCGGGGTACACGTGGGACGCCATGCTGAGGTACACCGGCGTGCGTTTCGAGCTGCTCACCGACATCGACATGGTGCTGTTCGTGGAACGCGGAATACGCGGCGGCCTCAGTCAATGTTCGCTCAGGTACGCGCGAGCCAACAACAGGCACGTACCGACGCACGACTCGTCCCAGCCCACTACGTATCTCATGTATTACGACGTGAACAATCTGTACGGCTGGGCTATGAGCGAATCGTTGCCCTACGCAAATTTCCAGTGGCTCGACGATCCTGAGAATTTCGACGCGACGACCGTGCCGACGGACAGCGACGTCGGTTACATTTTGGAGGTGGATCTCGAGTACCCGCGAGACCTGCACGACGCCCACGCGGATCTGCCGTTGTGCCCGACGCGCGACAAACCGCCCGGCAAACGACAGGAAAAACTGCTCGCCAATCTCTACGACAAATCGCGCTACGTGACGCACTATCGAAACCTGCAGCAATGTCTGCGACTAGGTATGCGTCTGACGCGCGTTCGTCACGTTCTGCGATTCGCCCAGTCGCCGTGGCTTCGCGTCTACATCGAGCTGAACACCGCGCTTAGGACGCGCGCGAGCAACGAGTTCGAACGGAATTTGTACAAACTGATGAACAACGCCGTCTTCGGCAAGACTATGGAGAACGTGCGCGATCACGTGGACGTGCGTCTCGTGACGCGATGGGACGGGAGATACGGCGCGGAGGCGTTGATCGCTAAGCCGAACTTTCACAGTAGGAGCGTCTTCTCGGAGAATCTGATGGCGATCGAGCTGCGAAGGCTCGAGATAAAATTCAACAAGCCGATCTACGTGGGTATGTCTATTCTCGAGATATCCAAGACGCGTCTGTACGAGTTTCACTACGACTATATGGTGCCGCTCTATCGCGACCGTTGTCGAATTGCCTACACGGATACGGACAATCTGATCTATTCGTTAAAATGCGAAGACGCGTACGAGCGTATGAAACGCGACGTGCACAGGTTCGACACGAGCGATTACGCGGAGAACAACGCGCACGGTATGCCGCGCGTCAACAAGAAGGTGCCAGGTTTGATGAAGGACGAAAACAACGGCGCGATCATGACGGAGTTCGTGGGCCTCAGAGCGAAGATGTACACTTACAAGGTACTCGGACGCGACGACACCAAGAGAATAAAGGGTGTCAAAAGAAACGTAGTCGCGAAGAGGATCACGTTCCAGGATTACGTGGAGTGCCTGCGGAACGCGCGCGAGCTGAAGACGCGCCAGTCGTGCATACGCTCGACGCTGCACGAGGTTAACACCGTGTCGGAGCAAAAACTAGCCCTCAGTCCGCACGACGACAAGCGATACGTGACGTCGAACGGCGAGGAGACGCTTCCGTGGGGACATTACAAAATACCGTTGTAAAAAAAAGGGAGGAAACAATATTGTACGCTTTAAAAATTGTTTTATCGTAAAATCAATAACACGTAAGAAACACATCGACGAATGTGTAAACTTTTATTGACAATAAAGTAAGCGTTGTTTACTAATGTCTAAGTATTTTTTTCTTTTTACAACACAGACGCCTTATCTATCCACGAATTATGCGAACTGTCCATTCCCAGCCACTTCACGAACGCTCGATTGCCGCGCTTGCGCAGGACTTTTTCCACGAGATAAACGTCGGGATTGGAGACGCGTAGCAATTCGTGTTTGTAGAATCCTCCGGCTATCGCTTCTCCGCGAACGTCTTTCAACAGATACATAACGGGATTGGTCCTTTGTACTTTGGCTATGCGAAAGATCTCGGTGGTCCAATTTGGAGTGTAGCCTTTTTCAAAGATCGTTTTGAATTTGCTCACGCGCACCGGATCGCCGACTCGAAATTTCGCCGGCGCGGCTATCTTCGCGCGACCGTACACCGGTGCGCAGCAGTTGTTCGGCGACGGTGGGCGTCACGTCCGCTGGACGCATTCGAATCGTTCTGTGTCTGCGACGATTGTAATTCGACAAGAGTCGCGGCAGCGAGTCTATCCATCTGTACGATCCCTGGAGCGTGAAGAGCTTCCACATGTCGTTTTTCAGCGTGCGATTGAATCTCTCCACCACCGACGCTTTCATCACCGAATACGTGGAATAGTGATTCACCTCGCGCTCGTCGAGGATTTT